CGGTTCCACCTAACCAACTTTGATGTTTTTGGGTTTTCCAGTTCTAGATCTACTTTCCCCGATACCTTTTCCGAAACCAGTTCCTACATACCAGTCCGGTTTTCGATCCTACAAAATCTCGTTAACTGTTTCTCGATTTTTCTGGGTCCGGGTCTATCCGGACGGGGTTTGGACTCACTTTCATCTCTAATCCAAAATATCCAACAAAAAATTAAATGAATATCCGAATTCGAATCCAAAAATCGAATATCCGAAATTTTGGATCTAAAATTTGAAAATTATTTTTTAACACCCGTACTTATAAGGGCAACATCTATATGTTCATGGTGTTTGTATGTGTAAGGCGGTAAGAGAGATAGGTCCAATACAAACACACAATCAATTTCATATATTTGTGTTTTTGGTGTTTGATTGTATGGTCTTGGTGTTCGAGTGTGTGTAAGAAAGATGAGCCTCAAACAAACACACATACACACATATTTGATTTTTAGATCTACGTGTTCTTTTTTTATGTGTTTTGGTGTTTCAGTGCTTAAGGGAGATGGGTTTGAAACAAATACACACACAATCGATTTTTCACATCTCTATGCTATTAGTTCATGTGCGTTCTTCGTCTTCGTTGCATTTTTATGTTCCGGTGTTTGTATGTATGTGAATTATTGGTGTTTGTGTATGTTTGCTCTTATGTGTGTGTTTGTTCATGAGCATGTTCTTAAGTTCTGATTGGAAATTTATGTTTGGCCATAAACATGCATCAACTAGTCATACGGATGTTTTTTGAACCAAGTTCAATGGTCATAGACTCATAGGTATACGAAACAATAAATGACTAAATATGTATATGAGCTAATTAAAATATGTTACTCTTATAAGTCATTAACTCTTTTCAAATTATTTATTTATGTTTTATTTTTATACTTGTCTATTTGTAATTCGTTGAAAAACTATGAGACCGACCATATTATTGATAAAACTCAAGAGTGAGCTTGTTAGTTAACAAGCTCCTTGGAAAATTTAGATTAAAAAAGCTCCTTCAATAGCTTTTTAATTTTTTTTATTAGTTTTTTTTGGTTGAAAAAGCTCTTTTTGGCAAAACTAATAAAAACTTCTATTGAGATGGTCTAACAAGCTCATGCGTTTTTTCAATAATTTGATAGGTCAAATTGGTTTTCACCCAAATATAAATAAACAATTTATATAAAATTTTCAATAAACAAATTAATCTTTTTCCTATTATAAAAATGAAAGAGTTTTTCGTTTTAAGATTTTCCTTTTCCTAAAAAACCCCTCCACCAAAACACACCATGTTGGCGATGCTCTTCAACTTTTGTCATAAAAATTATATTTTAATGAATATCTCTTAAATTGATATACACAGTTAATCTGTGACGGAAAACATAAAAAGATGAATTTTTATGAGAAAAATAAATATCACTATCAGGCCGGACGGTGTGGGCGAGAGAAAGGGTGAGGGAAGCTTTTTCTCTCAGCTGAACACCGCACTTGACTGAGGGAAAGATGTTGAGGGAAGGAGGTGAGGGAGCCCATTCCCTCACTCTTTCTCCTATTCCTATTGGCCAACTTTTTTTTTTATATTTTTTTAATACTTATTAAATTATATACCTACTAATATATATAAAAAAAAATATCAAAACTCATGGTTTTTAATTCCCTACAAAATGAGTATAATATTTGTAGGAAATATATATTTAAAAAAAATAAAAAATAGTGAGGGAAGTTTCTCATCTATTTCTTGGGTTTAGGTGAAGGAAATGAAAGTGAGAAAAATGGTGTTGTGGCCCACAAAAAATGAAAAGAGTTTCCCACCCATACCCTCCGGTCTCAGTGACTTGTATTAAATAATCCATTAAAAACTAGTCGTCTAACATGTTTTTATAAGTACATAGAGTCACTTTCGATTTTGGCACTTGGAATTCGGTAATGATCCCCAAAAAATAGTACAAAATCACATGGACATTTTAGTCCCTCACTTCGCAATTATTTTCATCTGATCCCACATTTACGCCCTTACCATGTGCAAATAATACACTCAGAAGGGCTTTACTACGTGCCATACATTTTGCATTAACATCTTTAACCTTTGTATAAGTCTCTACTTTGAGGGCAAACCAGGTTTCCCTTCTACGTGATATTAATGTGAAAATTAGACATGGGTTTTATGCATAATGTTTAGGTTAGTCACTTAGTCTTATTATTAACATTGGGATCCTAATCCTATGATTCTAAAAACGAAAAATGATCCCGATCCCAATTGGATAAGTTTGTAGCAAGATTAAACTTAAATATATATAAGACTAAACAATTATAGAGGGAATTGCACATAAGATCGTTGTATTGAACAATGATCTGATCCCACTCAGTTTTTTTTTTTCATCATTTGGCCTTTAGTGTTTAAAAGTTTAAACTCAAAAGTCATTAGTAACACTAAATAACTAATCTCGTATACTAGTTCAAACGTCCAACACATAGCCTGAAAAATTGTATCTTTAGCTCGAATTCGAGCCTCAAAAATGCATCTATTCAGCTCCAAATTGAGCATCAAAGCTTGCACGGAGCCAATAGAACCCCATGGCTTGGTGAGTTGCTATTCATTTACTCTATGATCCTATGAGTGTCGACAAAGATACGTCCTATTATGCATAGTGTTTGCTTTCATTACACCTGGTAAAATTTTATATGCGAAGATAAATGTACTACATAAAGGACAATTTGTCATGTAAATTTACATTAGATAATTATATTTATAATTTGTGTATTAACTTTTAAGATTATTGGTAATGTTTTGAATTTTATATAGCTTGTGAAAAGTTATATGTTATATTCATATGTTCAACTTATAAGTATTATGGATCTCTTCGATCTCAATCTTGTAAAGTAAAACGATCATATGTAAGATCTGAATTTTGACGGACCTTGATTTCAATGTCTTATTACTATTAATGCATTAAGTACGTGCCGTTATCAAAAAAGGTTATGAATTTTGATGACTTTTGGTACTTTCACACTAATCTTATTTTGGTCATGGCAACAAATACAAAACAAGAAATGTGGAAGTTTAGAAATAACATAATAGAGTTATGATTTCCCAACAAGTATAATGATTGCATTTAACCTTTACCGTACCAAAATGCAACTTGTTATAGAAATATTAATCATTCCTATACTCAAAAACAAACAATAAGTTGGTAAAAGTATAATGAAATAAACATGAATATCTTCTCCTACTGTCACATGCCGTTCTTCTATTTGATGCATTTAAGAACAAATGATTACCAAGTTAAAGAGATCTTTTTTTTCCTGGCAACCACTGAGGTGCTCAAGACTCTCCATCCGCAAACACTTATATCATGCTTAGTATTTCATACTAGTCAAATTATTGAGGGGAAAAAGTCAATGCATCATGACATCTATTTTCCCTCTTGAGGTAAGAGATAGTTTTAGTTTATAATTTTTAGGTAGAAATTTAATCATTTCATCTCTATCCATTTGAAATACCAAAATTTCCGTTCCCATGTCCGGACACTGGAAGGTGATTGTTCTTCAAGATGAACCTGATATTAATTAAGTCTTATGGTAGGTGAGGACGTAAGGTGAATTTTAGTTTAATTTCTTTTTTAGTGAAAAAAACTACATCATCAAGGAAACCCATAATTACAAGTCAAGATTCCTTTTTAGCATGTAAAATGGACTTTATGGCTTAAACTATCAAAAGAAAACAAGAAGGACCATTGAAAATCGGAACATGATAGTTGGCTGAGTTACAATTACATTAATCTTAAACTTATATTATATCCTTAAAGTATTCTATGGTTAATTGTTCCATAATATTAAATAGGAATGGTGATTTTTAGTTATTTTCTTAGGGTTGCTATAGTATTGAAGTTTGTAGAATTTTTCAAAATCTTTGACTTTCTAGTTCTTTAAAATATTACGAAAGTTAGTAGACAATATATAGTATTAGACAAGTTATGTAATATAGTAAAAATCTCTAGAATTCTCTTTGGTATTATTATATGGAATAAATCACAGACTCTGCTATAAATAAGAGCAGATCACGATCATTTGTAAACAATTTATCTTATAATTTAGCAACCATTTATTTGTATGTTCTTCTTTAGTTATTTTATTTTATTTTAATTTCTATGAATATAATTTATTATTATTATTGTTTAAAATAAGGTTTTAGAATGTTGATTCGGCCTATGTTATTTACATGGCGTCCATGACGGTCGTAATGAATTTGTAATATTTGGGTTTATATGAGATTTAACTATAGACGTGATAGTCATTTACCTTTTGACCATAAAGTTTTTGGAGGGACCGGTGTATAGCCTGGACTCGGTGTTCTGAATTTCTTATATCAATATGATTGGTAATCATAGTTTCATAGGGTTTTTGCCTATATTATCATCATCAGGCTCACAATTGTCATCCTACATGGCATAATTTTATTGAAATGAAATGACTCACATGTGTAGCTACATGGGTGTGAGAGTTGGTCTTGTTCCACTCCACCCAAATTAATTTGAGTATATGATATATAGATTTTATATTTCTTTTTTTAATAAAAAATGTTAAGGCTATGAATTGTAACATGTCCTTCCATTCTAAACTTAAATTCATAATGAATGTTATATATATATATATATATATATATATATATATATATATATATATATATATATTATTATCTTAATTAATCAGTTACTTCTAACTTAAACGAAAAATTTACTTTAAAATCATATATTGTTACATTTTGTTATCATTTTCAGTATTTTGCTATTTGTTCATATTTTGTAAATTATTTGGCCTATCCTAAAACAAAATTTTGGTCACGCCATTGAAATGACTTCTAATATTCAAACGGTGACGTTTATATCATAAGTTTTATAAACTTAATTTTAATCTCCTTTTTAATATAGATTGGACACTGAAGCACAATCAAGGGGAAAATAACAATCAACGATCAACTGAGGAAAATGTCATCATCCTTTTACCACGGTAGCCCTAGAATTGAGGATGAACGTCATATCAACTCCTCAATTCGATGCCAATGTGGTATGTTAGCAAAAAGTATGACTTCGTGGACGCAATCAAACCCTGGAAGACGGTTTTATACGTGCCATAATTCATTGGTAAGTTTCACTCATTTATCTAATCATGAACTTTATTATATCATATCAACCATATTGCTTATTTGTTTGATGTTGTAGGATAAAATAAGAAGGTGTGGTTTCTTCCGTTGGATTGACCCTGAGTTGCCTAACAAACGGTACAAAGCCATCATGTATGATCTACATATGAGGTTAAAGTCAATAGAAAAGTAGATAACTTGAAAGCTTTAAGAGTTAAAGCAATAGAAAGTAAAACAACGGTGACTAAATGTATACCAGAGAGGGTGGATGCAAGGTTGTTGTAGACAAAGTTTATGAATTATTTAGTTTTAATTTTCAGTGTAGTTTTAATGGGGATTGTGGTTATGTAATAAGTTTTATGGTAATGGTGATATATTGTTTTTGTGTTAAATGACAATGTATTTTGTGTCGATGGTAATGTATATTGCATTAACGTTTCTTGATAATAGTAATATAGTTTGCATACTCGTAAGATAATGACAATGTAATCCGTATAACCTTACATATCAGTTGATAAGTTGTAATGGTAATGTATTTTGCAATTTGCATAATGGTATAATGCTAATGACCATATACCTTCATAAGATTCATTTGTCGAGATTAACCATCACGAGCCTTGAAAGGGTTAATGTTGTCATTTCCTAATGGATGCTATAATATTACAAGAATAAACTCTCTTCTTATATTTTGGTTTAAATCACCATTTCAACACGACTTTAAAATTTGTCTTCATTTTGATGCACCACATTCTTTTTCATTTTACATTTTTAAATATGAAAAAAAAATCATAATTCTAAGTACAATTACAATAAAATGGAAGAAACGGCACGTAGGTCGTGATACAGTTACAAGAAAATGAAATAGCAAAATGTTGCACCCAAAATAAATAAAACTACTCATAGTCATTACTTTCACAACACAATTACAATCGGTTATTGTTGGAATCCTATATATCATAACAATTTAATTAAAAACCTGATCATAGTTTATTAATCAAATAAATAAATAATTAGTTACGGTTAGTATATAAATTGATAAGAAAAAAACACACAAAATTAAGCCTAAAACGATTGGCTTTGATAAAGACAAAAATATCAAGTGTGTGAACCCAAAGACTAAGCCTAAACGTTCATTAGAAACCTTAGGAGACGGTCATAGCCCAAAACATAAAAGCCCAAAGATTAAAGCCATGGCTTATGGTTTTACACGGGTTTGTCAAAAATACAACATCACCTAGAAACTAATCAAACCGACAAGCAGCTAGTGACAACCATGGACCACCTTACAAATATGGATGGTGAAGGGGAATCCACCTACAACATGATGGATAACGACGGTGATAATGGTCGCTAGTAGAGGTGATGATTTCGACAATAATGGTGTCGTTGTACCATTTTTCAGCAGTAAACTAACTCTTAAGTGTGTTGACTAAGGTGGGGACCCCACTAGCAACCAAGGCTGAGATGTACCTTGATGGTGCTGACACCGCCATAGTGGTGAAAGGAGGTGTCGGTAGTGGTAACACCTCTATGTTTTGTGTCACTGATACACCTGGATCCTAATGTCGAATCACAATAACAAAGATCGAACAATATCAAACATAAGGGGGTTCAAATAGATTATGTATGTTAGCTTCCATTTTCATAGGGTTTAAATCCTTAAATCCAGTGAAACCAACATTTCTTCCTCCAATATTTCGTACATGAGAAAAGTCATTAATAATAATTGGGTGCTATATCTAATAAGGATGAACGTTACGAATACGGTTTTCATCTCCTTAGAGAACAACTTCTATCAAAACCCAAGATTCACGAAAATGACACCCACCCTTCTAAATTCTAAATGGTGTATGATATATATACATAAGGATGTTAAGGTTTCACTAGGATTTGTCCCCAACCCGCCCCTTAGGAAACACCTTAGAACATGGAACCTCAATTGGCCATGTTAGAGGGGCATAGTGAATCCATTGTGGATCTATATAGTTATATAAAATCTTGTCTAATTAATTCATATGTTCCTCATAACTCCATATAATTTATATCATTGATTATTTTCTCTTAGTAGTATGTAAGCCGTTAGGTTTGGCACTCATTGGTAGTGACATTATTATGTTATGTCAGGTGCATTTATTTCAACATAGTGTTTTCCTACTCCACAGAATCCATACATGTGCATGTGTCCTCTACATGATGAAGTTCTAAAAGGCATTAGGAAAACACATACCTTTCCTAGAAACTCCAACCCAAGCACAAGGTTCAAGTTATTCATTGGCACTACTGATAGATCTATAAATCCTTCTATGATCTTGGTGTCCATGTCACATGCCACCTTATTGATGGGTTTTTTTCTACCAAATATGCCACCTTGATATGGCATTAATAACTAACTGTTTTGTTAATGAAGGGACACTAAATTATGATTCATAAAACTATCAACAACTGCACATACTATAATACTTATAATGATTGTTTACATGAATTGAAGTCACTTTTCATTTACTTTAGGTGTTTCAAACTTGGACCTGGTCTTATTATGGGTCCTCGAAGAGCCCATACAAACATCTTACTCAACTTCCATCTCTTGCATAATCGCTTGGAACTTAGCATTTTTATGAATATATCAAGATAAGTATGGTTTGCCACATAAGAAACATCCTTCATATTTTCTTATGGATCAAAATTATTTCCCTTTGTTTAGTTTTGGTTTTCAAATATAATTAATACTTGGGGACTCAAACTTAGAGGCTTCATTTTTTATTTGCATTAGTTTATGTCCCTACCTCTTCATGGTAATCCTTTAGTCTCGTGGCCTCAAAGAATCTACTACCTTGACAAATAATGTGACAACCCGAAATTTCTATTCTGTACAACCATTCACTTCAATAGAAGTCAGAACAGTTTCTGCTAACTTTTGAGCTGTGTAGAGTCAGTTTGAGTGTTCTAAAGCCTAGTACTTCAGGAGATAATAGGGAGAGGATGCCCTAGGGTTTATTGTGCATCAATAAAGTCCCAAAACTCCAAGAGTTTGGAGTTTACGGCCTAAACATGGTGTTTACGGCCGTAAACCCCAAGGGGTATAAAAGTAACACTTAGTCATTTTTATCACTTTTTCACAATTTCAAAGCTAGAACTCAAATCCTCTCAAGTATCATCCGATTTTCCTTCTTGATCTTCAACTATGTAAGTGTTTCTAGTCCTAATAAGTTGATATCTTACTTAATCTAGTGATCTTACATGATTTCATCCGTGAAATCATTCCATTTGTGTAGACCTTCAAGTGTTCTTAGTTTCACCAAGAACACCAAGAACACACACTAGTGTTCTTGGACTTCTAACACCTTTTGAAGCTTCTACATAGTAAGTACTCTTACCCTAGTGTGTTATAAGACTTGATACACTTCTTAATCATCTAGAAAACATAAGGAAACACAAGATCAAATGTGTTTACGGCCAAGATGTTCTTGGACCGTAAACCCTAATGAAGGGGCCAAAGTGTGCCCTAGTCCCTTACCAAGCCTTGGATACTAGTCTAGATACCATCCTTGATGTGCTTAGGACTTAAAACATCAAAAAGACCATAACCATTTGGTTTTACGGCCGTAAACCCAAGGAGAAATGGTCCAAGGACCGTAAACTCCACAAAGGAGTGAAATGGTGCCCTAATCACTTCCTAAGGCTTAACATGAAGTAGGATGCTTCTTATGACCTTTAAAGCTTCAAAACACAAAATGGTAAAAGTACCATGAGTTTACGGCCGTAAACTCATGGTTTACGACCGTAAACTCAATGAGAGTTGGTCCCAAAACCGTAAAATCCAAAAGAGTTTACCCTTGGACCCCAAACTCAAATACAAGGTCCTACCACCCTTAGATGCAATCCTTAGTACTTATAACACTTAAATAAGATGTTTTACATGTCCTAGGATGTATTAAATTGGTTAATTAGTTGTTTAATGACTAATTGGATACATATATGTGTTATTATATGTTAACTAGGATCCTTGGGTGTGTTCAAGTCTTCACTTGACACTTAGCATCCTATACTATCCACTCACTGCAGGTGAGTTCATACCCCTTAATCAATCTTTTAAATGATTTTAAATGCTTTTATGGGGGGGGATACAAGTTGATCTTTTATAGTTATTATATCAATCACATGTGATTAATAACTACCAAACAAGTGGATTTCTTACTTTCAAACTGTGTTATCAAACAAACTACTTTTCAAACTGTTTTGTCAAACTCTTTTACATGTCCAATACTCTTATCAAACTCTTTTACATGTCAAATACTTTTACTTAAACTCTTTTTAACTTATATTCTGTTAAATGTATATCTTTATAGATAGTTATATAAGTAGGATTGAAAGGACTTAGGACTGATAACTCACCTTAACTCCTGTTCCTCGTTTGGTTGTGGACTTAGGGTATCGGTTATTGTCCGAAGGTCGTTTGAATCCTAGTTATATATCATGTATATGTATATAGATATAAAAGTTCCTTCTTTCTATTCAATACCTTGGGGTAGCAAAGGTATACAGATATGTTCATACATACAAATCACTTACTAGTAAGCTACAAGGGCGTAGTTTAGGAAGTACTAATACTATTACTAGAACAATGGAACATACAATGAGTCAGTTCATACATGAGTCTATACATTACAATACAGCTAGTACATACGATACATTTTACAAGAAAACATACATGCTAGACAAGAGAGAACATACAATACCATACAGAGAGAACATACATACTAGACAGAAGAGAGAACACACAATACAGCTAGTACATCATACATATACAAGAATACTATTACAGTTATGTGAGCCACGTAACGGGGCATGGCACTACCTGTCATGACCGTTTTGTATCCAGAATCTCCTTAAGTGGGGAGCGTATGAGTTTGCGTATAGATCTATACTGGATTGACTATCCTACACCTTGCTGCTCGCTACAGTGGGACTTGCAAGTCTACGGGTGCCAAACGTTATTTTTTTCCGACATCTTACATTGTCGCGTCTATAGTCGGTAGCAGGGTACATGCCGATCACATGGTACTTTAAATTACAATTGGTTTAAGGTAGTTAGTATAGCAGTAGTTACTTAATACAACACTACAGTACTATTTCATTTCCCATTGCATTCACTTTGTGACTTCACACAATATACAATAATGTAAAAACTATTTT